AAAAATGTATTCTTTTTGACAAGACCTTTCATTGGATACCAACAACCTTGACCTTTTGACCTTGGAGATTTTTATACTTGTGAAAAAACTTTAACCTTGGCAATAACTTTTAAATGGGAAAGGACAGGACTTTCATACTTCACATATGTATTCCTTGTGAAAAAAAACCTTTCATTTGATACCAAGAACTTTGACCCTTTGATCTTGGCCCTGGATACTGACCTACTTTTAAAAAGTAAACATTGACCATAACTTTTAAAGGGTTATTGCTAATGCTTTCCTATTTTATACATTTAATTCTTGTGACAAAGCCTTTAATTTGATAGCAAGACTTTTGACTCTTTGACTTTGATCTTGGAGTTTGACCTTCTTTAAAAGAAATTAACCATGGCCATAACTTCCGAACGGTTAGGGCTAGGGATTCCATACTTTATATATGTATTCTATGTGGCAAGATCTTTCATTTGAATACCAAATATCGTGACTGAACTTGGGAATTTAGTAATTATGAAAAAACTTTAACCTTGGCCATAACTTTTGAATGATAAGGGCTAGTGATCTCATACTTCACTTATGTAATCCTTCTGAGAAGACCCTTCGTTGGATACCAAGATATTTGACCCTTTGACCTTGACCTTGGAGTTTGATCTACTTTTAAAAAGAAAACCTTGACCATTCCTTTTAAATGTTTAGGGCTACTGCTTTCATACTTTTCATATTTAATCACTGTGACAAGACCTTTCATTTGATAGCAAGACCTTTGACCTTATCTTTGGAGTTTTACCTATTTTTTAAAATTTTAACCTTGGCCATATTTTTTGAACAGTAAGGGCTAGAGCTTCCATACTTAACATATTTTTTTTGTGGCAAGACCAAGAATAAGTTCATTTGATACCAATGACCTTGACCTTGAAGATTTCTGTACTATAAAAAAATACACGCATATAACGTCAAGGTTGAATTTGTTAATGCCAAAACGCATATTTATCACAAAGTTTTACCCAAAGTCATCTTTGCATTTTAAAGAATGTATAGAATATAAACTCGGTTGAAGCACAGGATGAAATGGTATATATTTCTACACCAGATTTCCTTTAAATACAATAAAACTTTTATGCATATTGTTATAAATTTTGACACATTTTCCTATTTCTCACGAAAAGCCGAGCCAATATCATGCAAAAAGTATACATCACCTGTGAAATGAAACTGCTATATTCTGGTGTATTGAAATGAAATGCACATTATAACAAAACAAACAAAAACACCTCTGTGTTAATTTTTTTCAATATTTTAAAATCTAATTGCAATATAAATTGGAAAATTTAGAATATGAGTGGAAGAATAAAAAAGGCTAAAAAGAAAACTTTATTAGGTATATTACAAGTATATCTTATCAATAACAGAGCTCATATATTAACGATTCTTTTTAATTAGAACAATTGTCTTTGTGTATTTTTAGCTCACCTGAGCCGAAGGCTCAAGTGAGCTTTTCTGATCAAAATTTGTCCGTCGTCTGTCGTCGTTGTTGTTGTCGTCGTAAACTTTTCACATTTTCATCTTCTTCTCAAGAACCACTGGGCCAATTTCAACCAAACTTGGTACAAAGTATCCTTGGGTAAAGGGGAATCAAGTTTGTTCAAATGAAGGGCCATGCCCACTTCCAAGGGGAGATAATTATGAATTTGTGAAAAATTAATGGCATTTTAAAAAAATCTTCTTCTCCAGAAGCGCTGGGCCAGGAAAGATGAAACTCATGTGGAAGCATCTTCAGGTAGCGTAGATTCAAGTTTGTTCAAATCATGACCCCCGGGGCAAGGGTGGTGCCAAAATGGCCGACCCAAGTTTTACATAGGAATATATAGGAAAAATCTTTAAAAATCTTCTTCTCCAGTACCACTGGGCCAGGAAAGATGAAACTCGTGTGGAATCATCCTCAGGTAGTGTGGATTCAAATTTGTTCAAATCATGACCCCCGGGGCAAGGGTGGGGCCAAAATGGCCGACCCAAGTTTTACATAGGAATTTATAGGAAAAATCTTTAAAAATCTTCTTCTCTAGAACCACTGGGCCAGGAAAGATGAAACTCATGTGGAATCATCCTCAGGAAGTGTAGATTCAAGTTTGTTCAAATCATGACCCCCAGGGCTAGGGTGGGGCCAAAATGACCGACCCAAGTATTACATAGGAATATATAGGAAAAATCTTTAAAAATCTTCTTCTCGATAACCACTGGGCCAGGAAAGATGAAACTCATGTGGAATCATCCTCAGGTAGTGTAGATTCAAGTTTGTTTATATCATGACCCCTGGGGCAAGGGTGGGGCCAAAATGGCCGACCCTTGTTTTACATAGGAATATATAGGAAAAATCTTTAAAAATCTTCTTCTCGAGAACCACTGGGCCAGGAAAGATGAAACTCATGTGGAATCATCCTCAGGTAGTGTTAATTCAAATTTTTTCAAATCATGACCCCAGGGGCAAGGGCGGGGCCAAAATGGCCGACCCTTGTTTTACATAGGAATATATAGGAAAAATCTTTAAAAATCTTAAAGCTTCTTCTCGAGAACCACAGGGCCAGGAAAGATGAAACTCAAGTGGAATCATCCTCAGGAAGTGTAGATTCAAATTTGTTCAAATCATGACCCCTGGCGCAAGGGTGGGGCCAAAATGGCCGACCCAAGTTTTACATTGGAATATATAGGAAAAATCTTTAAATATCTTCTTTTCAAGTTCTTCAAAGCTATGATTAGTGATACATGTTTTTATATGGAATCATCCTCAGGTAGTGTAGATTCTAATTTGTTCAAATGATGAACGTCTGGAGGGGGGGGGGGATAAATTCAAGCCCGATGTACTCAGGTGAGCGCTGTGGCCCCTGGGCCTCTTGTTTTAAATGATGGCGTTGTGAATTAATTTCTCATAGAATATCATATAACGAGCTGTAAGACATTGCATTGCAACTAGGCGATATTGTATTAAAAATTTAGATAAGTATGTAAGACAAAGAAACTTTTAATAATGAAACGTTTTTTACCTCACTTGAGGTGAAAGCTCAAGTGAGCTATTCTGATCACATTTTGATGAGTCCGTCTATCCGTCTGTGTGTCTGTAAATTTTTCACATTTTCGACTTCTTCTCAAGAACCACTGGGTCAATTTCAACCAAACTTTCCACAAAGCATCCTTGGGTGAAGGGGATTCAAGTTTGTTCAAATGAAGGACCAAGCCCTCTTCAAAGGGGATATAATTATAAATCAATGAAAAAATTATAATATCTTAAAAAAATCTTCTCCAGAACAATTGGGCCGGGAAAGATGAAACTCATGTTGAAGCATCTTCAGGTAGAGTACATTTAAGCTTTTTTCAAATCATGACCCCCAGGTGTAGGGCGAGGTCACAATGGCCAATCAAAATTTTACATTGGAATATATAGGGAACATCTTTTAAAAATTTTCTTCTCCAGAACCATTGAGCAAGGAAAGATGAAACTCATCTGGAAGCATCCTCAGGTAGTGTAGATTCAAATTTGTTCAAATCATGACCCCGGGGGTAGGGCGGGGCCACAATGGCCGATAAAAGTTTTACATAGGAAAGCATAGGGAAAATCTTCTTCTCCAGACCCACTGGGCCAGGAAAGATGTAACTCATGTGGAAGCATCCTCAAGAAGTGTAGAATCAAGATTGTTCAAATCCTGACCCCCGGGGGTAGGGCGGGGCCACAATGGCTGATCAAAGCTTTACATAGTTAAATATATATTTGGAATTTTTTTTTTAAAATCTCAGTTAGTGTAGATTCAAGTTTGTTTAAATCAGGACCCCGGGGATAGGACGGGGTCACAATGGCCGATCAAAATTTTACATAGGAATATATAGGGAAAATCTTCTCCAGAACAGAAAAGTTTTGTCAAATTGACATGTAAGCATCTGCAAGTAGTGAAAATTTAAATTTATTTAAAAAATGTATAGAAGGGTGGGGGTCACAATAGGAGATTGAATTAAAAATGTTCTTTTCAAGTATGGCAAAATTATACATGACATTTGTATGCTTTATTGATATATTGAACCTCTCAAGTAAGTAAAAGAAAACAAATCCCCCTTCCCGAACAAATAAGTTTTTCATGAATAAGCTGATCTGTGTTTTTTAACTAGCCCTTTTGCTTAGGTGAGCAATCTGGCCCATGGGCCTCTTGTTAAAATTAATTATTATTTAAAATTGTATTACAATTTTTCAGCTCAAATTTAGAAAAAAAATTTGCTCTCAAAGCATTAATTTTAACAAAAAGTAATAAAATCAAAGTACTGAGAGTACTGATAGGCGGAAGCATGTTTGCAAGTTCTCAGGTGCTTAACTTTAATGACACATATTTGAAGCATAATCTGTTTTAAAGGGGGGGGGGGGGGTTAATAAATATTTTGATGGATTGTAGTATTGAAACCAAAGAACAAGAATGAACAATATGTCTTTTTTGAAGCGGAGACATGAGAATAAGTGACCTCAATAGCAGTATGAACTTTTTAACATTTATTATACCCCCCGCTTGAACATCAGGAGGCTATACAGTAATCGGTATGTCCATCCGTCCGTCTGTTACGCTTTGGGGTACTCATCTCTTATCCGCAACTCCTCTTATACCTCTGAGTGAAATTTAATGAAACCTTCACAGAATCTTAAGTTATTACATATTGCCATTGTACAACTTCTATTTTACTTTGTGATCCGACACATATTTTGGGTTTCCCGGCCACAGCAAAACATGGACTTTTCCATTATAAACTGTAATCATATGGGCAATGGGGGTATCATTTAGTGAGCTCTGCATTGCTCACAGTACCTTTAGTTTTTGTCAATTATAACAAGTTAAAATTGAAATGAAAGTTGCAAAACATAAAATTTGTTAGATATGGTTTTGGGGAACAAGAAATGGATAATTATAAAATTTCACACAAAAATGAGTACTAATGAGTAATAGTAAACAATAAATATCACAACTGCTTTTTTGTATTGAGTTTTAGTACCAATGAAACAAAGTCTTGTTATATAACAGCAAATTAAATAAGGATGCAACATACATAGAAGACCTTACATAGATTTACAATGTGCTTGTGGTTCTATGAATTGTTTTCATTTAATACACGTATGGCCCAGGTGGAACAAATCACAAGTCTCTAATGCTGATGACAGGTGAACCCTGTGTCATGATGTCCACAATAAATTGAATATTTTTTCAGGAGAGCTTCTACCATGGAAAGTCCTTGTAAAATATTGGTACATACATCCCAATATCAGTGTTGATTTCTTTTCTGGAAATTACCTACGTCATTTCCCTCCCAACTGTCTCTTGGCAGAATTTTCTACAAAAAAATTTAAGAATGATATCTCATAATGTACGTTTATTTAACAAAAATTACTCGCTTACTCAGAAATATATTATTTCTTATTTCAAGGTACACATTTTTATCAAAAACTTATCAATTATAACTAAAACATGCAAATGGTAATTCATTCAGTGAAATCAGACATGCATAGAAATCAATGTCACTATATACTCACTTCAAGAGTGAAGTGGTTATCTAGAAATAACGAAAGATTCAAAACTGCTGAAAGTCAACTTGTGTAGTTTGTTAAGTGTATGTATACTGGACATAACCAACGAATGATAGAATATAAGACTAGCGATCATGACCAATAACATTCTTCCCCTCTCTTTCTCTAGTTATATAACCTACATGTGTACACAGCAGTTTGTCAAATAGATCAATTTAAAACAACCTTTTGTAATTTTGGGTGTAATGTGCATTTTTATTTGATAACTAATTTAAGTACCAAAAATTATGTCCGATGGAATTGATAATTATTTGTACATGTCTTACATTGATAAACATGATAAATTTGTGGGTTAACAGAGCTTAATCTAACTAGGCTCAAGATCAAACTTTTATCTACATTTTACCATGTAACTGTGTATTCAGTTGGGAAAAAAATCAGAGTAAGCGATAATTAAATATTGACCGATTTGACTTCCCTAATATTTTTGTTGTATTTTTTTTCTTTCGCCTACTATTCATCATGTATTTGCATGTATTTTATAAAAAAAAAAAATGAAAAGAAAATTCCCATGTCAACAAAAATAAGAAATGTCAAAATATACTTTCAAAAATAGTATTCGGTTCATTTTTGCCATAATAACATAACAACAACATTAATTATGTTATGCTATCAAAAATATGTATCAAAACTTATGAAAAATTTTTCCACAAGAAATATAATAAATTGATGTACTCACCTTCAGAAAAGTTTTTCTGGTTGTGCAGAGTTGAGTTTTCTGCTGCTATTTAAAGGTGACACAGAGCAAATTCACGATTCAATCTTAATTATATCCCACTTTCTGTTAGCTGCCTCCGTAGGGACACATCTATTCAGGCTAAAAAACAATGTAGTTCTTATGCTTGCTTTCCGTCCAAATTTTACAGTTTAGACCCATCCTTCAACACACATGTATTTACATTAAATGAGATGGGACATATAAATGCAAACACAAACTCGGCATGATAATTACTCAAATAATTTCTCCCAGACATGTAATCATGGTAATTATAGAGTACACTCTCCAGTTTGTTCATCTTCGATAAGACCCGACCATAACAGCTATCATATTACGATAGCTAATGCATGCATGCCTGCATAGGGAGGCGACAAGTTAAAACAATAAAAGATAAGGGTGACAATAAAAGATAGGCTAATCACACAGCGTGAGTTACCTTGCTTATTTTGAAAAGAGGACCTGTCACTTCCATTCAACCATTGTAAATCATTTGTGCTCCACGTGGGTTTGTTGACAGTAATTTCACGCTGAATCGTCTTATGTCATATTATTACGCGAATGTAGTACTTATATATAAATTAACAATTGATAAAAGGAGTTACATACCTCTTTTCTTCTATTTATACAAGATTATTGAAAAGATTAGTTCCTCAGTAGCAATGTACCTGTCATTAATTCTGAAACATAATTACCTACTTGAACTATTTTGTCCCTCGTAGTATTTCTAAAGATCGCGTCAGGATCCCGTGCTAATCAAATGCTGAACCCGATTTGTTTAACGTACTGTGTTCTCTCAAATGTGAAACGTTTCAGGAGTACTAAAATAACTAATCGTTCTATTATTAGGCTTTTATTTTATTGGACTTTTTTTTTACATTAATCAAAATAATTTTTTCAAAAAAATTACGCTTAACACAAGCTTTTTGTTATGATAATAACGTAAAAGATTGGGAAAAGGGTCGATTATAATTTAGCGGGTTGTCTGCCCTTAGTTTAAAATACATCCGTTTGGAGTACCATGAAACGGGGCAAACATCTTGAGAGGTCGAAAGGTCAACAAAGCATGCAAAAGTTAAAAAGGCGGCTTCCGCCTAAAAAGGAAACAAGATATTTTAAGATATTATAAGGTAGGTTAAATCAGAAAAGTTTTGTGTGGGTTAGTTTGTGGCCATATCCCATGAAACTGGCAGGTGATTTCAGGGCCATGGACGGCATATCAACTATCACGCTCATCTAATTAAAGGACGTTTCAATGTACACAAAGTGGGATATGCAATATAATTTAAATTTAAATGAGGACTATTTTAACTACATTCAGAAAAAAACAGATGAAGGACTAATTCGTATGAATAAACTGCATTTGTTGGATTCAGATCGTCTAATTTGTTTGGGTAATTTGTGAATACTGTAAGAGATGCAACCTCTTAGTTATTAATCCTTCATGACAACAAATGATAATTAATTATGTTATATTAAATTTGCCAACTAGACAGTAATATTCTTTCCCACGATAAATCAAGAGTTGAAAATTCTGTGTTATGTCAAAAGAGTTAAGTTTAGCTTATTCATAAAATGACTACGTCCATATACCCTTTAATTGACCCAATGTTCGATTTCAAATATCAATATAAAGTGGAATTAATTACCTTTATTTCTTATAAATGAAACATTATGGAGATACATGTAACAAACAGTATTCAAGATCAAAAGTCCATAACGCAATACATGTACGAAATAGGAACAGAACAAACACAGACCTCCAAGACATCAGAGATGGGATCAGATGCCATGGCGGAGTAAGCATTTCTTGCTGACCGGTCACGCCCGCCATGTACTCATTGTTATGATCTAGGAAAAATTCGACGTCAATTCCGTGTGTGAATATTGAACTAACATTATGTATGAACAAGTTGCTGTCCTTTAAAAAGAGGACTACAATACGTGGACCATATGCACGTTTTCTTTTAACCGAAATTCAATCAAAGAAAATGTGTTATGATCATTGGATATTAATGTAGGTACGTTCGCATTTTCTACAGCGATCTCTCTACTTTGACCGATAGTACTTTCATAGCAAAATTAATAAATTTAATCTCCGATTGGCATATAGTTTTGTTATTTTCAAATCCAGGCTATTTTGATATATATATAACCCATAATGGCTGGTAATTAACATATACCTGAACTGAATGGAACTGAACTGAATTTTTTTTTCAGTTTCAAAATTCAGTTCAGGTCTGTTATACGCAGATTTTTTTTCTGGAGCACCCCCTCCTCTCCCCCACATAGAATACCGTTGCTAAAGGCTTGTATCAAGCTGTATTTGAATCCATATATATCTTTTTTTTTGCGAGCCTTGATGCACAAAATTAATGCTGGTGAAAACTTGTTTTATCTATTAAAACCTACAACTAGTATGTATGAAGTTATTAATTCAAGTTAAAGACTTAATTCAACGACTAATAGATAACTTAAGAACTTGAATTAAACACTTAAAAGATTCAACGACTAGCTAAATGTAAGTTCTTCATACTTTTTAAAATGTTTGTGCCATAGATTCAATGTTTATTTCGTGTTTAAAAGTATGTGTACAAGATTAAAATTTCGATCCGCCAATGAACTCTCAATCGCATCATCTCGGGTCTTTCTGTCAAATGTCGGAAAGCTAGTCGAAACGGCCCGAGAAGTTGCGATAGGTGAAGCGGAGTCAGCCGAAGATTGCCGATTGGAACTTCTCTAGAATTCTCGCGCATGCGTAGGCTGGCGTATGCCCAGGGCATCCTGTTTAGCCTCGCTTATATATTTACTGCGTGGACCGCAGGGTCCACGCAAAAACGTCACTCATCAGCATTTTACTTAATGTTAAATTGGATTTGTTGAAGAGGTCATTGTATCGAACATAGGCTTTACAAAAAATGACTTAAAACAAGACTGCAGATATCCTTGTTTTATCAACTTGCTTGTCAATAATTTACCTCGTTTTAAAAATTGTTCATACGAAAAGCATGCTCTTGCGTATCGAATCAACTGAGGTAGATAAACTCCGTGTGCAGTTGATGAAGGTTTATTGCCACATAAGTCATTACGTTTATCATAGAGCTTGCTTGTTAGATTACCATTAACTTTTTTCAAGTAAAAAATCCAAATATGAAATAGATTTATACGTATCTACATCTGATTAACACCACTTCTTGAAAATAATGTTGCATAATACTCTTGAAGTTTCTCCTTCACTACTGTTAATATCTTAGTGAGGAGTGAAGAGAGAGTCTTGGTTGAATATTACTGGAACCCGCTATGTATCTTTGTTTGTTAGGATTCTTATGAAGTTTCGGAATCAAATATATTGATAGTAGTTCAAAGTCATTTTGGTTCTTTGGAATATTAAAAACTGCATGATTTTTCAAGAATTTCTTCCTTAGAAAGATAACTATGAGTATAAGTTTGATTACCACTTGTAGATTACCACTTGTAGAATTAAATCTAAGTTCTTCTTAAATACAATTGAAAAAAATGAGCTTTACAAACGAAGACAATGTTGTTACCTGCTTTGTCAGCAGGGACCATTAGGTACTGATCATGTAATCTACTGTGAAATCACGTATATAATCGTGGAGGTTTAATTTTCGTGGTTTTCAAGATATAATAAGACCCACGGATTGATGTCCTCCACGAAATATAATTTTTCATAGATATTACTACTCAACAATTCATTTTCCACGAAATGAAATCCCCGCGAACCCTTATTTTTCCTCAAACCACGAAAACTTAATCCATCGAAAATATGTAATTTTACAGTATTTAATTCTTTTTTCACTTCTGATTATTCAATACAGATGGTTTTCATACTGCACCTCAATCTTTTATTACGCGATTTTAACATGGATCTGATTCAACAAAGTGTCAGCGTTTTCCTTTTTATATCCGGTCCATCGCCTGGCGTAATAATCAACAGAATCCATAATATTTCTGAAATTCCGACGCCAGTTGAAGGATCGGGATTCCCTATATTTAGGATCTTCTAAAGTAAGTGATCTGAGGTCCTCATAATTAACTATATTTACGTCACCTGTAATAACGTGTCCAGCAAGACTATAGTTATAAGGTGAGGAAAAACATGAACACTATGGATGATTATGCGTCAGATACTCAAAATCCAGGCCATGTAAAGTTGTGAAGAATTTCCTCCTTAGAAAGGAAGCTATAGGTATGGGTTGGCGTGTCATTTGTAGAATTTGTAGGAGGAAAGTCTTCACAGTCATGTGTCAGTTTTGAATATTTATTATATTCCAAACAACCAAAGTGATTTGAATTACCCATTTACATTGCATTCCAAAACTTGATTTAAAAAATCCTTACAAAGATTCATAGCGTGTTCTATTAAAAATGTACTACCAAGCTTATTTCTTTACTTTTTAATAAAATATTTAGAGTAGTACTGAAGGAGAAACTTCGAGAGGTGGTGTAAATAAGATATGGATGCATAAAAAATCCAAGAAACTTTTGGTAAAGATTTCAAATCACAAATTTTTATCAAAAATAACAATTCAAATGTGAATTCACTTATTTTCGTTTGGAAATATTTTTTGGTTGTTTTCAAAGCTTGGAGAGACCCACAAATTCATTACCACCTAGAAATATAAAATTTCATACGCATTACTAATTAACATTCTTTAACCACGAAATCAAGTCCCCAACACCAATATCAATCACAAAAGGTTCCATCTGTATTCCATCACTACACCTTTTTTTTACCTACAAATACTGTAAATGTATTATATTTAGCGTATACAATATTTAGCGGAAATTGACTTTTGAATAATATAGCGTAGATTTGATTTAGCGCATTGCTTCATTTTCCTTATTTATGTGTACAAGACATTTAGCGTTGTACTTGATTTAGAGGTTGCTGCTTTCCGCCAAAGCCGCTAAAAAGAATACACAGCCAAATGTAATTATACATAACTATTGCTTCCAGTCTTTTTAATTACAAGAAAACTTTACATGGCCTGGATTTTGAGTATCTGACGCATAATCATCCATAGTGTTCATGTTTTTCTTCACCTTATAACTATAGTCTTGCTGGACACGTTATTACAGATGACGTAAATATAGTTAATTATGAGGACCTCAGATCACTTACTTTAAAAGGTCCTAAATATAGGGAATCCCGATCCTTCAACTGGCGTCGGAATTTCAGAAATATTATGGATTCTGTTGATTATTACGCCAGGCGATGGACCGGATATAAAAAGGAAAACGCTGACACTTTGTTTTAATGGATTAAATGAATTAGATCTATGTTAAAATCGCGTAATAAAAGATTGAGGTGCAGTATGAAAACCATCTGTATTGAATAATCAGAAGTGAAAAAAGAATTAAATACTGTAAAATTACATATTTTCGATGGATTAAGTTTTCGTGGTTTGAGGAAAAATAAGGGTTCGCGGGGATTTCATTTCGTGGAAAATGAATTGTTGAGTAGTAATATCTATGAAAAATTATATTTCGTGGAGGAAATCAATCCGTGGGTCT